TACACCGCGCTGGACCTGAAGACGCCTTCTTCTCACTGCCGTTGTCCCCAGTAGGTCACCCTGTGTTTGCCTTTCAATGCGCTGCTGACCCAGAGAGAGGATATTCGGGACAGTTGACCTGGACTAGATGCCACAGGGCTTCAAAAACTCGCCCACTGTATCTGGTGAGGCTCTACGTCAAGACCTGATGCATTTTAGACAGGAGCACCCACGAGTGGCTCTCTACGACACACGGACCATCTTCTCCTGACGACGGAAGATCGAGCCACTTGTAAAATGTAACCGAGGACGTGCTGGCAAAGCTGGCCTACTGGACCATCCGATGTCAGCTAAAAGGCTCAGCTCTATGCTCAGACTGCCACCTGCCTACGACAGGAGCTAAAAACAAAAAAACGAAAAAAAACCCACTCTGTACTAAAAAAAATTAAAACAATCTTAAAGATCCCACAGCCCCAAACCAAAAAGCATGCACGTTAAGTTTTTGGGGGCTGTGGACTATTACAGACTCTACATCCCCAAGTTCACCAGAATAACAAAGCCCCTGTATGCCAACACACACACACACACACACACACAGCCCTAGTTTAGACTACAACTAAATCAAAAGCCTTTAAAAGTCTCAAACAGGCGCCTCTAAACGCCCTGCACTGGCCTCACCGGACCTAACCAAGCCTTTCCGGTTTTATATGGCTAAAGCCAAAAAACAGCCAACGGGGTCCTGACCCAAAGCTAAAACCATACTATAGACCGGTCACGTGTTTATCTAAAAGACTCGACCCGCTAGCCTCTGGCTGGCCAAGATGGGCCCGGGCCGTAGCTGCGACAGCTGTCCTGGCTGAAATAACCTCCAGGCCCACTTTGGGACGAGACTTACCCGTTACCGCCCCGCGCTCCGTACAAGCCCTGCTGAGGAGCCCCCTAAGAAACGGCTCTCAACTCACATAACCCGGTATCAAGAGTCACCATTAAACCCTCCCCAAATTCGCTCCCTAAAATAATAAGGCCGCGGACTAATTTAAGAGCAGACCTCATCAGCCACGGCCACACCTGATACCGAGCTGTACACGGATAAAGACGGCCACACATCCCAAAGAGTCACATATACAGGGCGGCCGTGGTCCCCACGGACCGGGCTGTTGAGGCTCAGGCTTTAGGTCGTGGGACTTCAGCCCAAAAAACGGAACTCATGGCCTTAACCCAAGCCCTAGAATAAAAAAAAAAAGACAAAACTATTAACATCTACACAGATGATAAATCTACCTTTACGACGGCTCATAAAAAAGGGTTACAAAATTACCAACACTGTGCCTGCCCATCGACTAAACCCCTACACTATCATACAAAAAAAAATATTATTACGCCAAACAAAAAAATAAAACTAAAACCTCACAGACTAATAAAGATCCCTATATTTCTTTATCCAGAAAAAACTGAGTTGTTCGGCCCTCGGGTCCTATGACCCCGTGACCATTACAATCAATAACACACTCAAATATAAACATCAAAAAAGCCTAAAGACAGCGGCTCTATGTGTCATCTAAAAAAACAAATGGGACCCGGGGTTGCCTTTTACTGCCAACGTTTCACCCCAGCTAGACCCGGCAACCCCGCAGGTCCTGATGAGAATTCATACTTAAACCTGCCCCCCGCGCATCCTGTCTCCACGTCCGGGGCTCCCCTCGCGTCCCTCCGCCCCGCTCGGGCCCCCCGTCCCTCGTGGACAACCCCCACCTGACATGCAAGCTCGGCACCTCAGTTTCTCAGCGAGACGGACCCCAACGTAACTGAAAATTACTGGCTTCGTCTCGATCCAAAGCCCCCTATTACATTAAGATCAAGACAAATAACCTACTTAAAAAAACTATCAACCACATTAAAAACGTAACTTCCAAGAAAGTCCACAAACAACATCTATATAAATAAAAACAAAAACCTAACCTAACACTACAAAACTTACAAAAACCCACGCCTACGTATATCCCATAGACTGTAAGTTAACTCGGCCCCCGACACCGACCATTGTAACCTCTAAGCCACCAGATGAATATTAATTTAAATGACTTAAAAAAAGTCTATCAACTATAAAACAATCAATAAATTCCCTAACTAAAATAATTCTACAAAATAAAAAAAAACCTAAACTTACTATTTTTAAAACAAAAAAGCTTACATATTGCCCTAAAAAAATCTTACTGTTTCTATACTAACCATTCAAATATAATTCACAACAGCTTACCACCAATACATAATAAAATAAAACAATGATTAATACCGAAACCTGTTTCCTCGGTCCCCTTAATTAACTACTGTCCCGTCCACAATAGCAGGGCCTCTGATCTTATTCTTATCCACATTATTAATTAGCCCACGTATAACTGACTGCCCTTTAACACACACAAACACACCCAAAATGTCAAGTTGACGGTGCTTCACACTCATTATCGCCGCGTCTATAAAAACAATTCATAAACACAAAATCAAAGATTTAATCACACAACCAACCAGTGGAGAATGTAACACTAGGCCTCAAAAATATAAAAAGTTATTATAAAAACGCTGTCTCAAGACTCATTTCTGTCTACAGAGTGAAAAGCTTGTACTTTGTAAGCCTCGCCCCAACAGGGAAATCTATCTCTGTAAGCAACGACCTTGTAACTGATCATACGAGTTTGTTGGTTGTCTGCAATAAAATGTATTTGCCTCACCCAAAAAGAAATGCTCCCTGCCTTAACTGAGGCTCTCTGCTTCTGCCCCCTTGCTTGCTCAAACATTGTCATCAGTGCCGAGCCAGACAGGTGGTCTGAGGCAGGTCCCAGACCCCGTGGCTAGAAAGTGTGTGATATAATTATTTTTGTCCCACTGTGTCGCGTTTAGTATCACGTGGCCCCCTCCAAGTTAATCTGCGGTCTTCTCACCGTTTCAACTCTGAACTACTCTCTGTGCAGCCGTCTGTGACGATACAAAACACAGTCACTGCCAGCTAACGAAGCTCCCGACGTGGCTCGTTCGGCCTCACGGGTCTTTCTCGCACCCTGCACCCTAACAGGGAGAGAGGGAAGTGGGGTCTCCCTTGCCGAGATGGGCCGCAGGGAGGCAGCCAAACCGAGTGAGTGGACACAGCTCCACGGCGTCTCTGCGCAGCGAGGACGGCAGAGAGCCTTTCCAGGGACTCGCGTGTCCCCGAGGCCCTGATGTGGTGAAGAAAGCCGCTGACCTGGAGGGCCACAAAGGGACCCTCGAATGACCAAGGCCCGGGGGGCGATGGACCTCTCCGGGGGTCAGCACAGGCGGAAGACAGACACCAAGGATGTCCCTTCCCCTGGCCCCACTGTCTTGGTAAGACCCCCCCCTCCCCGAACTTACATGTGACCTTGGGAAGGAGAAAGGTTTGGCCATCGTGGTGGCCTGGGACTTCCGCTAGAACCTGTCACCCCGATCAAGTTCTGCTGCATGCGCGCCTGAGTTTGTGGACTGTCCAAACGCAAGGAGGCTTGACACAGCGCAAAGAACGAGCAGCGGCAGAGATGGGAATAGTCACTCTCTGGGGGACAGCATGTTCAGGACCTGGACATGGTTTTTGCCACCTTAGTTCCAGCAAGCTACGAAGGGCTCCTTGGAAGAGAGAGGTAAGAAACAGGAACCCAGGCGGGCACGGTGGCTCACACCTGTGATCCCAGCACTCTGGGAGGCCGAGGCGGGAGGATCGCTGGAGCTCAGGAGTTCGAGACGAGACCAGCCTGAGCAAGAGCGAGACCTCTGTCTCTACTATGAGTAGAAAGAAATTAGCTGCACCACTAAAAACATATAGAAAAAATTAGCCAGGCATGATGGCGCGTGCCTGTGGTCCCAGCTACTTGGGAGGCTGAGGCAGGAGGATCGCTGGAGCCCAGGAGTTGGAGGTTGCTGTGAGCGAGGCTGACGCCACGGAACTCTAGCCCGGCCCACAGAGCCAGACTCTGTCTCAAAAAAAAAAAAAAAAATAGAATTCTAACTACAGAAATCAGCTATTTCACTGTTTTGAATGGAATTAATGGGTCTCATTTCCTGGGGACATGGGTCACGGGGTGGCAGAGCTGAGGACGATCGTCACCTGTGAGTCCACTCAACAGCTCGAGGCGCAAGCTGCCCTCGGCCAGGGGCTCTGGCCCTCTGCTCCGCACGCAGACGGCAGGAGCAAAGAGGGTGACACTGGTGCCCACCGTGCAGCCCGATCCCAACAGGAGTCCCCGCTGTGCCATGAGAGGGTGCGGAGGCAGGCAGGCCTGGGCCAGAGCGAGGTGGCTCTGGGACTGAAGAAAGGGACCGGATCCAGGCTCAGGGAGCAGAGGGAGAAGCGAGATGGGGGACGGGGAGCGCAGGGCCTCACTGAGGCCCAGGAGTTTTAGGAACTGCCAAGAAACTGACTGAGGCCAGGAGCAGGAAAAGCTAGAGCAACGTCGCGTCCCTCTGCTGCCTCTGCTGTCCGAGCTGCCGTGACCGTCCCACCACGAGGTCTGGCAGCGCCTGCTGCTGGGACGGGCAGGAAGCTGACGCCACTTCCAGAGACACGGTCCCTGCGGGCGGCGTGGCACCGTGGCTCTCCGCCGTGCGCCTGCCACCGCCCCGGGACGGCAGACGCTCCGTCCTAACTATCCGAGGCTTCCTCGTCTCACCCCGTGCTGGTCCCACTCAGCAGCCTCTCGCCCCTGCCCCAAGCCAGACAGGAACCATCAATACTGAGACTCCCTGACTTCGGAGCCAGAGACACACTCACCTTTGCAACTCAGCTGTCCCCACTTTAGACAATACTTTTTTTTTTTTTGAGACAGAGTCTCACTCTGTCGCCCGGGCTAGAGTGCCGTGGCGTCAGCCTCGCTCACAGCAACGTCCAACTCCCGGGCTCAAGTGATCCTCCTGCCTCAGCCTCCCGGGTAGCTGGGACGACAGGCACGCGCCACCGTGCCCGGCCTGGACGACACTTTCTGCTGAACTCTGCTACCGAGGGGGCCCGGGACCCTTACCTCGGGTGAGGATGCCGCTCGTGGGGCTGAACGCCTTCCACACGATGCTCTCGCAGATGTTGGCGGAAACGAAGAGGGACATCCCAGAGCCCAGGCCATACCCTCTTTGCAGGAATCCATGCAAAAGCAGGACAATCAGGCCACCAATGGAAAGCTGCAAAAAATTGAAAAATAAATGTCAACCAACCCAAAGAGCCCATGTGTCACTGCTCCCCAGGGACGGGGGTCTGTCCTGCTTCGGTAATCGGGTTCTGACCCGAATGCCGAAGGCTCGGCGGGAACGCGTCAGCAGCGCCTGCCTTGGCCGAACTCGGGAGGGCAGACCCGGGTCTCTGGCTGCGGTGGGTGCCAGGCCTTTCCGTGTGGCTGCGATTTGTCATCTGAGAACTGCCGGCGGGGGCGAGGGGTGCTCGGAAGGGGGAGGTTAGCGGAACAGTCACCTGGATAGTGACCAGCAGGCAGATGCCAGCGCCCATCTCCAAAGGGTCCCCGTACGTTCCCATCATCACGTACACGACGGCCTGGCCAATGATGATAGTCACGCGAAACACTGGAATCGGAGGAGAGCTGTGTTTGCAAAGTGGACGCCACTCGGGAGCGGAACAGAGGGACCCAACACCCGCCCCACGGCAGGCACCAGGGAAAACAAGGATGGAGAATGCTGATGTTGCCTCCCAGGGGCTTGGCTGAGGGGACAGGTCAGGTCACTTGGGAGCTGCACGGCCCACGGGTGACCCGTACAGCAGGGCCATCTCCACGGGCTCACCCTGCAGCCCCGAGACCCGAACACAGAACACTGATCTTGGGATAAAGCGATCCCTTCCCAAATTTGTGTTAAATGTGTTCTTAAAAGGAAAACCCCTCAATACCATCAATCTGGTTATGACTCCCATCCCCTCTGCTGCCAGGCTCTTTTGGTCTAACAGATACTTTCCTTCCTGTAGACTGTCTTTTTTTTTTTTGAGATATAGGCTCACTCTGTCACCCGGGCTAGAGTGCCATGGCGTCAGCCTCGCTCACAGCAACCTCCAACTCCTGGGCTCAAGCGATCCTCCTGCCTCAGCCTCCCGAGCAGGTAGGAATATAGGCATGTGCCACCATGCCCGGCTAATTTTTTCTATACATTTTTAGTTGTCCAGCTAATTTCCTTCTATTTTTAGTAGAGACGGGGTCTCGCATTTGCTCAGGCTGGTCTCGAACTTCTGACCTCAAGTGATCCTCCCTCCTTGGCCTCCGACAGTGCTAGAATTAGAGGCGTGAGCCACCGCGCCCGGCCTGTAGATTGTCTCAATTCCTTGTATGTCATTATATTTCACCACTAGGCACAATGGAATCGACACCTTTTATTCATTCCCACAATACTAGATGGGTCTCATAGTGTGGCTTCGGCTTCAGTTTCAGTTTTTCTACTTCATTTGTTACGTAAAATATTTACAGGTAAAGGAACAGAGACTTCAGAGCTGTCTTCTAACCTTCCCCCAAATCACAAAGCTGGTGCACAGCAGAGCTGGGCTGAGGCAACCACCCTTCCCTTCCGTTAAACTCTTCCAAAAACTCCCAAAGGAAAACAACAGTTGCCAAACATCTACGTGTACCAGGTTCTGTGAAAGTGATTATTCAGTTGGATCCTAAAGACAGCTCTGAAGCAGATGTTCCCTGTAAGTGACAACGGGGACATCTCCAAGCCTTGCTCCTTCCACCCCCCATCACGTGGCCTCGGGGCGCTGCGGACACTCGGCCCCGCCTTGCCCGGCCCACGCCTGGCGCCCAGACCCTCTGCTGTCCCCAGGTGCTGTCTCGCTCTAACACAGGCCACCAAGCGCCTGCAGGCTGGTGGGCCAGGGAGGTCACAGCACCCAAAACCTGTCTGGATGCCCCAACCTTGACAGCACATTCAAATTCTCAGCTCCAGACATCAGAATGTGATTCACGCTCTTTCTTACACTTTTGGGCGCTGTTGAAGAGAGCTCGGTCTTTGGGGGTGTTGCCGACTTCAGTGATCTTGGCTCCGGCCAGGAGCTTCGTGATGACGCTGGAGACGATGATGGGAGATATTCCCAGCTCCATCAAGGTGTCTTGAGAACAGGGGGAGGCAAAGCACAGCCCGTATTAGCTTGGAAAAGACAGCATTATTTTAAAAAAAACGAATGAGCAAAATCCGACTGGGTACCCCTTACAGAAAGCCAACGGGCTTCAGCTTGCTGGCATCTCTGAACTTAGAGAACAACCCCAAAATATCTGCATTTCGAGTATAATTCAATTCCTTCTGTTCAGCAATACCAGGCGACACCTCATTCTGTTTAGGACGTCACGTGGCAGCTAAACAGACTGTTGCGTTTAAATTCAACATAAACAGATTCACTCTGGTTTTAGGGAGATAAGAGAGGTCTCTGCTGTTCATGAGTTAATAAAAAAGGATAACGTTCCAATCATTTCCAGAGTGGGCCGATACAACTATATCTAGCTGGGAACGAATCTCTACTTCCCATTACGTTAAAATAAGCTGTACCTCCAACTGATTTCCGACTTAATCCGAACCATATTTTAAACATGAGTTAATCAAACGCAGTATCAACGCACTCATTCAAAACCCTCCCCAGCCCCCCGAGTGAGTGGCTGGAGCGTACGAAACACCGTCACATTTTTTGGGCGCATATTCGTAACCTACAGATATGAAAAAGACACACCTGAAAAGCAAATTACATCCTCTAAAGAGTGTTATCAATGGAAAGAAACGGCCTCATTTCGGGTGTTTACAAAGCATTCGAGTTTTTCCATGTCTTATTATTCTCTACAACGAAGACTTATCTCGTTATCACAGGTTCTGCGCTGCATTACAATGCAACTGCAAATACCTCGGTCCTGAATTCAGCATGTATACATGCATGCATTTACTTATACATTTATGTATGTGTTTATGTATTTCTGTATGTATGTATGCATGTATTTATGTCTGTATGTACTTATATATTTGTTTATGTATTTATTTATTTATTGACAGAGTCCGGCTTTGTCACCGGGGCTAGAGTGCCGTGGCGTCAGCCTCGCTCACAGCAACCTCCAATCCCTGGGCTCAAGTGATCCTCCTGCCTCAGCCTCCCGAGTAGCTGGGACTACAGGCACGCGCCACCATGCCC